ATCAGAATTTCGTCCCACTGAAGCGAAATCCATCATGACAACCTGCCATAAACTATGGCAGGTACATTTTTCTACTAACTGGTTAATTTTGCTTCAACACTCCGTCGAAAAAATAACCTACTGCAAAATTCTAGCAATGGGGCTGATCAATTTTCCGTAAATACGGAGCAGATAAGATTTTGTTTTTAATCAAATTCAGCAAAGTAATTTTCTCTTCAGACTCGTGATCTTAAGCAACCAACAGTTCAGCAAAGTAATTGTTCTGAAATTTGAAATGAATGGACTTAGCTGGAGAAGCGATTTCTTCCTGTCTTGTAATCACTGAGCACATTAAGATAAAATAGAAAAATAGAAGGATTTCACTTAAATGTCATATGTATGAAGACATTTTATGACGCAGTCTGTGTTTCATCCCTTAGCTGTATGCACAGACCGAACAGTGCATGTGGATAGGAGTGGGAATCATCAGTACAGCCTCCTACCGCTATGTTTTGAATATTCATGTAACTGATTTGCGAGAAGGATGAGAGGAAGAAATAGATATCAGTGAAGGAGCAAATAAAGTGAAAAAAGAAGGAAAGAAATGAAGGTAAAACGTGGAGAAGCAAATAAGGTGAGAAAGGAATGAAAGAAGGAAGTTAAAACACGATACGGACAATCATTATATTTATGTTAGGAAAAACAGTTTATGAAAATAGACTGCTGGCTAGGCGTTTATTTTCTGAATCGTCAAGGAAGATGAAATTGCTCAGTAGTGATCGGTTCCTGAAGCAAAACCTGAAAACGGATCGTTCTAGTCTGGCAATATCAAACTCTTTTTGCCTGTAGATACTTATAAGCCGCCTAGCCTATGTAGATACTTATAAGCACATTCTTGCACCATTTGGTCCATTATCATTATCTGGATACGCCCCGTGATTTACGGTAAATGAATAATCTAAGGTCTTATTGTATACATTGAAAATGCATTTGTCCTCGTGGCATGAAATTTCGAGGTCTAAGGAGCGGGCCTGTCCGGAGTAGGTGGTGTTGAGTTGCAAGCTGGGTCCATAGATATTACTGGCGATTTTAGCAAAGTTGGCGCAGTTAACAGTGAGGATGTCATCGATATATCGAAAAAGATGATGAGTACGAGGATTCTTACGAAGAAACCGATACTTCATGACTGATAATGTGAGATCGGTAATATCCGGACTAGCATTACCTTCCATTGGTACACCTTGTATTTGCTGGAAAAAGTAGCAACTAAAATGTACGCATGTTTCTTGAAGAATGATTCGAGGCATCGCCTTGATCTCATTCTTTGTGTAAGATATAAAGTCACCTGCGAATTCATTAGCATACCAGGTATGGGTTTTACAACAATGCATTCTTTTCCAGCATTGGTAAAGCAGAGGTCAATAGGGAAGAATAGGTTATCAATAATATGAGAATGCGGTAGACTGGTGAAAAGGTTGCTGAAATCTTCTGTGTGTATATATTCGATCGTGCTGCCTAGTGCGGAGAACTTTTGGATCACAGTAAGCGAACTGGTAATGCTAAAGTAAATTCGCCGTCCATTGCGCGTTAGTGTTTGCGTTCAGTAGTTGCGAAAGTGAGTCTTAAAATGAAATAATATGCGATGCAGAATAACCGAAAAACTTCGGGAGGATGAATTATTTGCTGCAGCGATGAGTCTACATCCATACGGGTCTTTGTGAAGCTTGGGAATAACGCAGAAGAAGGGAACAGATGTATCTCTATCAGTGGTATGCAGCTGAAAATTATCTAGAATTTTATGATGGTCGAGGATCAGTTGTTGGACGGAAAGCGATACTGGTCTATGTACACTATTTCCTTGAATATGGTTGGGGCTGCTGAAGCCAAGCTCATTACAATGCAATAAAGCATAGTATTTTTTGCATCTAACTGTGTAGTTGCTTGGCGCTTTGTCAACAGACGTTATGACAAATTGTTTGTGTATCTTACGTAAGGCTCTGTCAAAAACAACGTTGACGTGAGGAAAAGGATAGGAACGGTTAGCGGTTCGACACCGTGCCAGAGCTAATATGCTATTTTTGAAGTGGTCATATTCATGAATAGTGGTACCGGTGCGGTTTGCCATAGCAGAGATGAAAACATCTAAGGCACTGGAACTAGCTGTTATATCTTCGTCTGCAGTTTTATTAACCGTAAATCTGAATTTGGTTTCCTTCCTCATGACATCCCTTAGTTGCCGGTCACGGATAATTTCTAAATTACCTGTAACAATGTGTTCAGCAGGTTCATAAAAGAAAGCAGAACGCATGCGTTGACAAGGTGAAGACAGTAAGTAGGCAAGTTCCAATGGTCCATCATTGAGTCGTCGAGGAAAGGAGGCATAGTTCATAATGGAACATGTAGGATTTTGATACTTGAAACTGACAAAGATACGTGGGAAAGGATGTATTGGAAATAATTGTCCTGCTGTAGTATCATAGAAAACGGAACGTAGTTTGAGATTGACGAAAGCATTTCCCGGATAAGGAATGTTGAAATAGAAAGTATCTTCACGATGCGTACATGCGGCAGCAGTTTCTAGTCGGAAAAGTAAAGAACCTTGCAGAATGCAGGCTTTTGCAAATGGCAATAGGTCAGTAGCAACGCTTTACTGGAGCATTCTAAGAGTATTGTTATTAGAACAATAGAGCTTATTAAGTAGAAATTGAAAAGCCTGAGGGGTATCAATGGCGCAAGTAAGCGCAAAATCAATAGTTTCTTGGTCAACAAGCTTATTCCTTCGTCTACGTTTTCTGTGCCTGCGACGTTTTCGAGGTAACAGTTCTTGGAAGTATGGGTTTTTTCCCCATATTGAATGGAAGCAATCCACCTGACATGTTGCCGTAAGCCGTAATGCAGTCGTTAAGCCCAAAAGGATAGGCCGTACTAAGGGTCTGTATCCAAAAATGCTCCTGTTAGAACAAGCTAGTGGAAAATCTGTCAACACACTCGACAGTTTCAGTCCTCATATGGTCTGGTCCATGTCCCGGCAACTGGTAATGATTGTAAGGGCAGTGTTTGTTTTGCGAACAACATTGTATCTGTGCTCCCTTGCACGAGCCTGTAGAGTTCGCTTGGTCTGGCCTACGTATTGTATGCCGCAAACTCTAGACGTAATTACTTATACTATACTAGTTTTTTTGCAAGTAAGTAAGCCGTTTGTAGCATCCGTGTTGATCGGTGCCAAAGTAAGAGAAGTGTATATAAAGAGGAAAAATAGTAGGAGAAAAATAGTAGGGAAACAGTTGAGTTAAGACGTTTCGGTCCATTAAGTCATATACTTCTTAGCTCAACACCATGACTGGACTTCGTCAGTATGACGGTCATGGTCGTTTGGGATCAGGAAGAAAGGAAGGAATGTAAGGGAGAGGAAAAAAAAGTAAGTCGTTGGGATTGCATAGGGGGAAAAAACGAGAGCCGGTGACAGAGGATTGCACCACTCCGTCGGAATGAATCATACGGCAGCATATACAGTTGCTGCCGCAGGCATGTGTGTAATAGAGAATGTTATCAACAGCTTCAGTAATACGGATAATGCGACCATGTACATCAATGCGGAAAAGGTGCTTCATCGTATGACCATTCAGTGGTTGAACTAAAACATCCGTGGGCACTCTGCCGGATGAACCAGCTTGATTAGAACTGGTTTCGGTTTTTGCTGACCCATCAGGCTAAGACCAATATCCAAATTACCCCTCCAAAGCCAGACGGCGCTAGGTTTCCCTGTCTGGCAGCCTTTTAACCGGTAACCAGTGTAACCAGTGGAAAATTTAATGGTCGCAGAACCTTTAGGAAAAAAACCGCCAGAATTCCGTCTGATATCAAAAAACAAAATGCTGCGCAAAGCGACAAAGTACGGTAGCATCACATTACTGCCACGGCCGCCTGTCACGAATGGAGGCCTTTATCGAAAATTATTCTGAATCAGGAAGTAATCGAACGACACTTTTTCGCAACCGGACGCAATCTGTCACCATTACACGACAGGTCCTCATCTTCTAGGTTCAACCTAGCAGCACTTTTATTTGTATCTGCCTTTCAAGGCAAAATACGCAATTTCTTTTCTTTTCTGCCTCCTACAGGCTGTTTTCATCTCTTTCTTTGTGGTGGCTTCTTGGCCGGCTTTTCGTGGGTTTTCTGCGACAGAGCCTAGTGAGTCAGGGTGAGGACCCGATGTTAGCGACATTATTGGCATGCAACTGTACAGCGGGCGCAGATACACCAAGATCTTCTGTACTAAGCTGAAAACAGAAGTATAGCGCGCGGAGGGCCAATGGAGGCCTACACGGCTGGAGGAGTGCTCCTGTGGAAGTGCGGAGAGCACTTACCCAAACCAACGAGCAATGCTTTACTTACAAAAAAACAAAAACACACACGAAGCAGAAACCGAAAAGCGCAGGAGATT